AGCCTATATAGAATCCATGAGTTTTCAAAATTAACACAAGATCTAAATAGAAGGAATAAGGTGGGAAAGGAATCACATGTGATACAGGTAATGCCTGATGATAAAAGATGATAACTCCAACTAATTACTTGGTGACAACTGTGCGAAGCGGGTGTATCTATATACTATGACAATGCCGCACTTTTGTCTTCCATCATTTTTTATTTTAAAAAATTATGAGCCACGCCCATTTCATTGATACTGCAGAAGTTTTCCCTGCACCTTGGCTATTGTAATGGGGCATCATCCGGGCATGCATGATGCAGACCAGCAAGATTATTATTATTATTAAGATCACTATGACTTTGTTTAACACTGCATTCCCTCTTGGTCTGGGAACGAGACTAAGCATTATAATTAGTATACTGATTAGATCTAACTGATATAATGAATTTGTAAGGTTGGCATCAAAATCACTAAAATAGAATATCATATTAAAAAATTAAAAATTAATGATGTTCTGAAACTAAGTATAATATTTAATCTATCAAAAAGTTAAAAACCATTTGAGAGAACTTTAAGAAATATTCCATTAGCTGGTGACCGTGCAATGCCAATACGAGTTTTCAATGGAACCTAATAAAAGTTTAAAGGTGAGTTTTATTTTAAGGATACTATTATTACCAAAGTTTAAAATGAGGCTCTAGCAAATTAAAAAAATCATAAGAATTGCAAATTGCATCAATTAACTCTTTTATTTAGGCATGGCATTTTTAATTTTAATTTAATAATTTTAAATATCATTTACAATATATATGCAACCCTTTTCCCCTAGTTTTGGTATTACTAACTTGTGTGTCTGGTGCTCTCTCAAACTTGTACTTTCTCAGTAAGCTTGTTAGACACATTTTAGCTTCCATTAAAGCAAACTTCATACCAATACAATTACGAGGACCAGTACCAAATGGAATAAAACACATTGGATGATGATACTCTTTCTCATGAGGACTAAACCTTAAATATATAAAATAATTAATATACAGGCTCATCAAAAAATTGCAATTTGTCAAACCTTTCTGGCCTAAAAATTTCAGGCTGTTCCCAATGTTCAGCTAATTGGTGTAGAATCTGCATAGGTATCATGACTGAACAACCTGCTGGTATAGTAACTCCATTAATTGTACATGTGTTTTCACACTCCCTGAAGGTCCTATTACAGTAAATGATCAGCAATTAAGTAGTAAAATGATATTACATTGATCCTGGTCCACATATTCTCAGTGACTCATTTATTACCCAGTCTAAATACTCTATGCTATGTGCAGCATCATAAAGAGAAGAATCCTATTTATTATAAAATTTGTACCATATATAGGTTAGGACTCAAGTTACAATTGGATTAAGGATAAATGTAAATGAAAATGAGTATGAGATTATATATACATATATATATATATATGTTCAAACTATATGCGTCATTGTTGTGCCATACTTTATTGCATTGATAATAGTTATTGATTTCTTGAGTAAGTTTATCCTGTTTGTCAGGGTTCATTGCCAGAAGATAAGCTGTAAATCCCAATAGGTTACCAGTTGTCTCATATCCAGCTAATAGAAACAATAACGAAGCAGAAATTATTTCCTCATCAGTTAATTGCTTAGAACCAGGACAAATTTGATCATCTTCTGCTTTGGCTTCCATCAAAAGCTGTAGAAGGTCAACATTCTAAAATAATCATACAGATGAGTACATATGTATCTCATGTACTTTGCAGGTTGCTTGACCCTGCAAACTCGTTAATCATGTGACTCTCACCATACTAGTAATACATGTCACGTGAGCAGAAACTGGGTCAAGCAACCTGCAAAGCACTGTAGACTGTACCGTGCTTTGCAGGTTGCTTGACCCAGTTTTTTTACTTCCTGCTCACGTGACATGTATTATTAGTATGGGGAAAGTCACGTGATTACGACTTTGCGAGGTCAAGCAACCTGCAAAGCACGGTATATCTTATAAAACACCCTAATATGAGTTATTACACCCTCCACCTCTGGCACCGTGACCTTGG